TTATTTCAAAATTAGAGACCCTCATCTTATAGAAAATACAGTATGATGATGTGAGGGGAAAAAAAAAAGAAATGTGTCACATTAGATTGGGTAGAGAGAAGTGATGGGAGGAGAGGGGAGAAGAAGAGGGGATAGCTAYGAAGGACAGCAGAATAAAATAGACACTAGTATGTACACTGTATGTACATACGTGTCTGTATAACCAATGTGATTCTGCAACCTGTACACTCAGAAAAATGAGAAATTATACCCCATTTGATTCAAATGTGTGATATGTCAAGATCATTGTATTGTCATGTGCAACTAATAAAAAAAATAAAGTAGAATGATATTTTCATGATTTTAAGGAAATCATAATGATTATGTGTAGTGTATGTCTTAAGAAAAAGGACTTTTCAAAAAWATATATATATACTTTTTTTAAGTTGTTGATAGAACCTTTATTTATTTATATGAGATGTTGAGAAACAACCCCAGTGCCTCACACATGCCAGGCAAGTGCACTACCACTGAGCCCCAGCCCTAGCCCCAAAGGACTTTTTTTATATAACTATATTATATATGCATTCAGTTTTCATGTCACTTAAGTCTCTAATACAAAAAATTTGTTCAGTTTGTCTTTGTGTTTTATTTTTAAGAGCAAATTACTTTAAGTAAAATTTAAATTTTAAAGAGARAATTACCTTAAGAAAGCCTCTCAGCTTGTTTATCTGATATTTCTTTAGATAAATACTTTATTGGGTAAACATTTTGATTAATAACTGAATATATTTTCCCCATCAGTATAGTGATGTCTTGGATATTATGAATACTCAAAGTGTAAAACAAAATTTCTTAGCCATAAATATCATTTAATTTCCCTAAATATTTTTGTAAGATAGTTTAATGGCTGATTGATATTCTACTGTGTAGTTATATCTGAATTTGCTTAGTGCCATAWATGTAAGTTGTCTATTTAGTTTTTAGCTATGATAATTTCATCATCCTCATTGATAAATCTTTGTAGATGATCAGTTTTTTAGGCTATATTATTAATAGTAACCTTTTTGGGGGTTAGGTAACATATAAACTAGAGAGGCTTTTATTATCAAATTGGCTTCCACAGTGTACCTTTTACACATTCACCAGCACATCACGTTACGTGCCCACTTCAGCACACTTTCTACATTGTTGGATACCATATTTTACAGATAAACTTCCACAATGGAGAAGGGCTAATGTTGAGAGAGAAATCAAGGAGTTATAGAAGAGAGATAAATTATTTGCTGAGTCATTTATTTCTTTGCAAAGCCTCAAATCAAATTCTGTGGTCACTTCTGTATTTTTATGGTCTTATGGTATTTGGAACATATTTCTTTGCCTCCTATCATGGTAATCAAAATCCTTGTATATCAAGCAAGATCATGTGATTGATTATTTTTGTGATTGTTATTATTTCATGTGATTATTTTTCTGTCTCTTTACATAATCAACTATCATTTCATTTTCTTCAGATGGGCTTGTGCTGTGGGTTGAGTATACACTCTGAGCCACTTCTGGGCAGCTATGTCCCTACTGATATTAGGTCTGTTGTTGGTGAAAGAAGGAACACTGGGCCATGGTGGAGGCCAGTTGTGATTATTTTTCAGTCTCACTGTGGGCATGAATGTACATTTTTCTTCTTATCTGACTATAGTGGGAAAGTAAATAGCATTCATAATGTCCACCCAGGAGAGTCCCTGTTTCTTACATGCTTAGCAAAAATTCCCTTTGTTTGCTGGTAATTAAAAGGCAAAAATGTCAGTGAATAAGTGGGCAAGAGAAGAACTGACAGAACTAAAACAAACAAACAAAAAAACCCACAAATTTTCAAGATACACTTACATGTATGTACATGAGAGATACCCATGGCACATGTGCTTGATTTATATGACCACACACAAAAACTGAAGGGCAAATTAGGGAAAACACATATATTGCATGTCTGTAGAAAGAACTTGGCTTAAGAAACTGTTGGTAAAGTACGTAATGTGGATGGAAATAACAAAGTGCTAGAAAATTAGGTTCTACTTTATTTTGGAAGGTAAAGATCCCTATAGTAGTATGRCATTGTGAAAGTTCTCAGTAGCGTAGCATTTCAGATGGCTTTTGCAGAGGAGATTTTTAGTGTTTTGCTGCCAGAGAATTAAGTTCTAAAAGCTGGCATTAATTTCAGTCTTATGTCGGTAGCCAAATGGATTAATAATGAAATATCAAATGAAACATACAGTGTCTCACTTTAACATTTTTAATGATAATAATGACTTAAGACTTGATAAAGAGGGCTGAAAAAGAAGATTATTCTCATATTGCAGTTTTCATAATAAATGAAACTACTCCATGCATTATGTGGTCATCTTTTAAAAGGGTTCAGAGTAAGGCAGTTGGGAAATAATTCCAACTTGATTAAAATTTTCCTTCATATATTTAGTCAGCTYCTTGTCTTTATTTTTAAAGTACAAGAAAATAAGAATTTTAAGCCTCTGTAAAATGTTAAGGAAATGTCAAAATCAGTAAATGTGGGAAAAAAAAGAACAAAAGATCCACATATGTAAGTGATAATTAAAAACCTTTTAGATTTGAGGCAAGTAAACATAAATGATGAGCCTTGAGTGTGTTCATCTAAGGACTCTCTGTCTTTTCAATTTCAGCTTTTTTTCAGAAACAAAAATACTGATTTACAAAGTAAATTTATGTTCCAGTTACTTCTGAATTTCAAGTAGAAGGGGACAGTGTTGTGTTTGAAGCTATTAATGCTATTTTGTGTTTCAARTACAAAATTTACCTTTGTGGTATATTTTACTCTTAAACATTTTTATGTATTTATGTATTTTGCGTGTGTGTCAGGGGATGGAACCCATGCTTGCACATGACTTGTTTCCTTCCTCCTTCTCTGTCCCTCCCTTCCCACCTTCCTTCCTTTGTCAAGCTGTCTACCACTGAGCTTCACCACCAGTCCCATTTGGTGTGTTTTTATAGTAGATTTTAAGTTGAAGTTTCATTATTCATTCACACAAATTCATTATTTAGTACTGTTTCATGGTTTTGAACTGTATGGTTAGAAATAAAAAGTAAATTGTGCCTTTGTGATTATAGAGCAAAACATGTATATAAAGCTACTTCTGTATAATAAACGTTTGCTAGGTTATCGATATTTTCATGTGAGTATTTGATCTTTGTTTCTAATACATTGATTTTATTTGAGTTACAGTTGTTCTCAGGGAATATTTTAAAGTTACAAAAGCTTTTCTAATGAGCAGGTTATGCTTGCTTTGGATTTTGATGCTGAAATGTGGTTCTTCTGCATAGGTAGTATTGCTATTGTCCTGTATCTTTTCAACTTGTTCTTCATTCTTAATTACATAGTACTCATGTTTTCAAAACAATAGTGCTTATTTTATTGAAAACTCTCTTCCCCTTACTGTCAGGCAATCCTTTGAGATGGCACAAGGACTGTACTACTGGAGTCTGGSCATGTGGCTCAGTGATAGATCACTTGTCTGTTGTGTGTGGTTTGATTCCCCAGTACCAGAAAAGAAAAGAAAAAGGCCTACTATAAAATATTAACATCAAACATTAATAAATTAGAAACATTACTTTTCAAATGACATTATTAAGGATTTGAAGATTTAAAAATAGAATATTGCTTATTATAATATAAACATCCTTACAGATAAGTACTGTACATCCAAAAATTATTTAATCTAATCAACAAATCTGAAGTTACATGTGAAATCTCCAAATTCCCATTAAAAATAATTTTGTCATTATTAGATTGATCCTAATTCTTAGAAAATTTAAAAAATCTGGTAAGATGTAAAGAAGAGTGATATCAATTCATTTTCCATTCTCTCTAATAACTTTTATTGTATAGTTGAAAACTGTTTAAAAGATCAGTCTTTCTAAATGATACTAAGTACCATMATAGGCCTACTATTTTTCTATTACAATTTGGCAAATCTGGTTTGATTGACTAATTGGATACTAAATAAATGTTTCAAAATTGGGAATAGAGGAGGAGGAGTTATATGAAGAAAGAACTTGGTTCAAGTCTTTTGTACTTGGTGACTATGATTGTGAAATTAATACTTGATATATTACTAATTAAACAATAATCGATTAAACAATATTTCCTGATAATATTCATCATCTGTATTCATAATATAGTATTGTGCAAACTTTTTCCCATGGTGCAAACTTTGTCTCATGAGTGTCAAAGGTTAAAACTCTGTAGTGTCTCTAAACCTGAATTCTTTCTTCTGCTGACTTTGTGTCATCAGGATTTATTATAGTTGTGAATAAAAAAGATACACCATTGTGGACATGGAGCTATTAATAACACTGCAAATTACTATTATGAAGATAAAAGTGGCTGGGCACAATATCGCATGCCTGTAATCCCAGCAGCTCTGAAGGCTGAGGCAGGAGGATCATGAGTTCAAAGCCAGCTTCAGCAAAAGCCAGGTGCCAAGCAACTCAGTGAGACCCTGTCTCTAAATAAAATACGAAAAGAGGGATGTGGCTCTATGGTTGAGTGCACCAGAATTCAATCCCTGATACTGGTCCCCCTTCCCCGCCAAAAAAGAGAAAAGGAGCAAATGAACTATATTTATTTATTTTTACTTCTGTTGTTGCTGTTTTTCTCTTGAGGTTTAGAGTATATAAACAGGCTAATAAAATAAATTTAAAACACTAGGAAACTCCATGCCTCCAGTCTTTCCACAGCCCCCCGACTTCCTTTTCTCAGAATCTGCTTTAGGTTTGTTTTAATATTGTAATAAGTGTTTCTGAAAATATTAGCAGCTGGTTTCAGGAATCATCTGGAGGGGGTGCAGATGCACTRCTATCATGAATCTTGTCATGGAGCTTTAGTGGAAATATTGGGTCTGCAGTTAAAGAACTGCTCATTAGCAATCTTTAAAACAGTAATGGTGAGAAAGAGACACTTGAATATAATGCTATGCAATTTTGTCTCCTATTAGAAAGCAGAAGATGAAGATATTGTTCTCACACCTGATGGCACCAGGGAATTTCTTACATTTGAAGTTCCACTTAATGATTCAGGATCTGCTGGTCTTGGTGTCAGTGTCAAAGGTAACCGGTCCAAAGAGAACCATGCAGATTTGGGAATCTTCGTCAAGTCCATTATTAATGGTGGAGCAGCATCTAAAGTAAGCATATGTTAACTTTATCAAGTATATGCTCACTAACAAAAATGTTTCATTCCTATCCTGTGTGGGAAGTATATTCAGTTAACAGATGTTTTTGAATGATTTTTAAATTTTTTTTTAACAATAACCCATTCCTGATCAAATAACTAATAAGAGAAATCTTAATGCTATATCAACTCTGCATTTTTAATCTCACAGAATCTACAACCCATAATCATGCTGCTTAAGTGATGATAATCTATGCAAAGACTTACCATAGGTCCTGGCATATAGTAAAGGTTAATCTTTTCCCCTTCCCTCTCCTGCTTGTGGGTCACTTGTTCTATTTCTCAGCGCAGAGAAAATTTCCTGGCTGTTTGGTAAGGGGGCACTTCTCTGCAATTGTCTAATCGCCTGGAGCTTTTACATGTCTTGGGTTGTAAATAATCTCTATGGGTGTTTCTGGAAGCAAGAAAGTAATCACTTTGTGTCTTTTGAATTAGTATGCTATTTTGGTAAACAGATTATGATAATGACTTGATTTACAAATGTATAAATGATTGAAATAGACCCAGGCTACAATGGCTGCTTAGACTTCATTATGCTAGTGTTCAATTGGGCATAATCCACTAGGATTAAAGCCCCCACCCCCCACTATTTTTAGTTTAGTTTTAATTTTTTTTTTTAACTAAAGGGAAAGCAATTTCTTTTATAGCAGACTATTTAACCACACTTATTTTACCTGTTTTCTTCCCAGGATGGAAGGCTGCGGGTGAATGACCAACTGATAGCAGTAAATGGAGAATCCCTGTTGGGCAAGACAAACCAAGATGCCATGGAAACCCTAAGAAGGTCGATGTCCACTGAAGGAAATAAACGAGGAATGATCCAGCTTATTGTGGCGAGGCGAATAAGCAAGTGCAATGAGGTAAAAAAATATAAAACACCAAAGGCGCTAGTATCTGAAACTACAATAAGGCTCATTTCTTTCCTAACATTGGACAAAGAATGGCAGGTTCCAGGACCTTACCTCAAAAGACCGTACATTATCTTGGCTTGCTATAGTTGTATTGTTTTGTTATTAGAATGGGATTAGTTTTCTTAATTGTGATCAAAATATTTCTAAGTGTAATGTTCCCGTTTCTATCTCACCCGATGACACTATCTCTGAGGCACCTAGAGACAGCAGAGTTCTCTTCTGGAAAACAGGGCCACACCTTACTCCTCCAAGCCCACAGTTTCTGCTCTCTGAAGCTGAGTTCTACCAGGTGGTGATACAACTGCTTTCTCTGAAGGGAAACAACTGCTTATTCACTTGTTTATCTTACATGGGATGCCTCTTATGAAATAAGATAGTCTGGTTTTCTCCCATGTTGTTCCTCTGTCAGTGGAGGGWGCCCCTGCCCTATCCCGGCTTCCCCTTTTCACCTGAGTGACTGCTTTTTCAGAGATTTGTGGGTTTTGTTTTGTTTTGTTTTATTTTTTTGAGAGAAAGAGAGAGAGAGAATTTTTTGATATTTATTTTTTAGTTTTCRGTGGACACAACACCTTTATTTTATTTGTATGTGGTGCTGAGGATCGAACCCAGCWCCCCGCGCCTGCCAGGCGAGCGCGCTACCGCTTGAGCCACATCCCCGGCCCAAGATTTGTGCTTCTTAATACCAATTTTTGTTCTAAATATGTTACCTGATGATATCAATACTACCCTGAGTGAAAGAGGCTTGGCTACAGTGTGCTCTGAGCTCCAGAAATATTGGAGTCGAAATGGTAGAAAATTAGGTTTAATTGAAAGTCAGTTTTGAAGGAAAATAGGAGAAATCTATGGCTCCAAAAGTTCCCTCTTCGCAATCYCTGAAGGTGAGCAGAACTGTTAAAGAAGAGACAGTGAAGTGAGACCAGAAATTGGAAATGCACATGTGGATATTTAGTTGTCTGTGGCTACACAGGTTTGAGGAAGTGGGGGTTGTAGCTCTTCATTCTYCATTCTCAGCAGGAAGAATTTGTTCCCAATTCAGAAAAGGAACCCCCAGATTTAGTCTGTTCAGTGTTTGCTGCAAGTATGCCTGGCATCCTGGGTTTGATCTCCACCAATGGGAGAAAAAAAGTGCTGCAGTATAGAATTAGGAGTGARTACAAAGACATAGGCACTTCTCTGGAAGGGCCTGACCATCTGCTTCCCCAAATAAGCCAACATGTACTATAGGTGTTATTTTAATATATAAATATATATTTATTTTTCAGTGCTGCTGTTTGAACCTAGGATCTCACACATGATAGATAAGCACTTTACCACTGAACAACATCCCAGCCTCCTGAAATGTTATTTTTTTTWAAAAAGACATATATTTCTTTTAGTTGTAAATGGACCTTTATTTTATTTATTTATATGTGGWGCTGAGAATCGAACCCAGGGCCTCACACATGCTAGGCAAACATTTTACCACTGAGCTACAACCCTAGCCCCTTTGAACTGTTATTCTTGAATAACAGTTTTTAATGTTTCCCAAATCATTAACAAAGTGCTACATGAAAAATTGTCAATAGTATGTTTATAAGACACAATTTGGCTTATTAGATCTTTTTCCTTTCACATTCCAGAGAACAGYATTCATTCAACAGCTGTTTATTGAGCATCTAGTATAGTTCAGAAAATGTAATAGATCCTAGAAACAACAGCCGTAAATAAAATAGACGGTGTCTTTTCTTATCGAACATGTATTTTCTTTTCTTTTTTTTTAATGTTGTGGTTATTTCTTTTTTTAATTTTTTAATTTTTTTAATTTTTATTGATTGTTCAAAACATTACAGAGCTCATGATATATCATCTTTCATATGTTTGACTCAATTGGGTTTTGAACTCCCATTTTTATCCCAAATACAGATTGCAGAATCACATSTGTTACATACTCACATTTTTACTTAATGGCATATTAGTGACTGTTGTATTCTGCTACCTTTCCTCTCCCCTCCCCCCTCCCCTCCCCTCCCCTCCCCTCCCATCTTCCCTCTCTACCTCCTCTGCTGTTGTTCAATTCTCTCCCCTTTTTTTTCCCTCCCCCTTGCCCCTCATAACCTCTCGAACATGTATTTTCTGGCCAGTGTATCAATTTTTTAGGCTCTTTAAAAACATATTGAAATGGGTGACACATCAAAATTTTCTTTGACAGACAACATTGAATGTTATGGGGGGACTTAAGTCAGAAATGAACCGGAGATSAGCATTCTACTTTAATCTCATTTAGATTATTCCCTATTGTTCCCCAAACAGTAGTGAAGCAAACCTGCACCAGCCTGAAAATATTTTGATAAAAGCACTGATTTTATTCCCTGTTGCCCTGTAAAACACATGAAATTGGAATCCCATTGAAATATCTGTGTGTTGCATTTACTTCTGCGTGTGAATTTATGTGAATGAAAATGATTTAAGTAAGGGAACAGCTGCAATAGACAGTAATAGAGTTTAATATTCAATATTCCTTATGGTATCATTTTCGTACATTGCTGGTTATTACTATTTCTTAGGACAGTGTAAGCTTATAAAGCAATTATATCAAAAAAATCTTATCATGAGTGCTGTGCTTTCTTTGTAATACTAGCAAGAAGCCYTTTGTACTGAAAGGGTTTAACTAAAGAATTATATGAAGACAGAAGAGCTCAATTCAGCTTCCCATAAGGCGTAAGACATGATTTTGCTGCTGTTGTGCTTATATTACATTAGGAAAACCTTCTCCCTGAACCACTGGAGGAGTATGTGTAAATTATGTTACTATAAATATTGATATAAGCATAGGACATCTTGATGTCACGAATAAACCTTGAGCCAAAATAGCGTGTTTGAGTTCTCCCCTTCCGGGTATATTTGTCACCCATGTAGTCCAGTCTACAAGAATATCACAGAAAGATATTTTATTGTTTCTTCCTTAAGGGTTTATATACTTTCAGGTACATAAGATGAGAATTTGCAAAAGAAAACCTTATGTACTTTGGGCATCTTTCTTTCCCTTAGACATGAAAGTGTTGCACATTATGTTAATGTTTTCTTTAAATTTATTTGTTGACTTTCCTCTCTAGGTTTCATTTTAAAAACCTGCATTCCACTAACATTAGTCCCAATGCAGCACTTCTATCATGCTAGATGCTACTTCTCAATCTGTTTTGTTGACCTTTCAGGAATATCACTTTATTCTCAGAATGTTTCCTTATCTGCACTCTCTATTTTTCTACTACTAGAGTCTGTCTGTTCTCTTTCCTTTAAGGGTTCTTTTATCCTGCTTCTTGTTTTTTTGTTTCTCACAGCTTTACCTGCTCTCTTGCTAATCTCCACTYCGTGATCATCTGTTACTGCCTACACAGTTGGCCCTCCCTCTTCATAGGTTTCACATCTAGGGATTCAACCAACTGTCTCTGCAGTGGTCATGTACAGACTTTTTTTTTTGGTCATTATTCCCTAACAATACAGTATAACAACTCTTTATATAACATTTATATTGTTTTCATTATCATAAATAATGCATTATTATAAATAGAAAGGATTTAAAGTGTATGGGAGAATGTTCTAGACAAATATTATGCCACTTTATGCAAAAGGACTTGAGCCTCCTTGGAGTTTGGTGTGTGCAAGGGTCATGTATCCCTGTGGGTATCAAGGGATTATGACGAGTGGTGATTGGTGATGAATCCCCTAAAACTCTCTTGGAGCACCAGATTCCTCCATYCAATTGCCCACAGATATATTCACTGGTATGTCTCTCAGGTTCCTTATTCCAAAGGCATGGCCATTGCTTCAGGAATAGAAGCCAGAGAGCTGGGGTCTCTCTCGTGCTCTCAGGTGCCTTCACTGTGTCTCTCACTTTGGCMTTGGGAATCTTTCTCTACCCAGCCCACTCTTCTCCATTTGCACTGCCATTGTTTGGATTCAGAGCCCATCATCTTCCCAAGCTCACTCATGTATTTCCCTGAAAGTTTCTGTACAGTCAGGCTGTCTCCCTCAGTTCGTGCTTTGCACTGCAGTAAGGGACATGTTTCTAGAAAGCAAGATACTCTTGCCAGTCCCTACTGAAATCCCTTCAGGAACTCCTGCATCTGCAGGAGAGATGTGAGCCCATCACAYGCCCATAGGATGTGAGTGATCTAGAATCCGTACCCTTCCATTCCCTGTGTGCAGTCTGCTGCAGCTCCTCTGCGCTCCTTTCTCAAACTCACGTAGCCTTTCGATTTTGGTTTTCTCTCCCCAAATATTTCCATAGCCCTGTGTACTCACCTTCGCCCAGCAACCCTATCACGTATCATGGTTTCTTTCACTGGAACTGTTAATACTGAGACTGCCAGGAAGTTGTCCATCTACTGTGTTCCGATCTATCTGTCATGGATATCAGTCTAGGGCCCAACATGTCAATGAATGATGATGGTAACAGCCCAGGAAGGTTGCATTTTTCAAAAGAGAGAGAGAGAGAGAGAGAGAGAGAGAGAGAGAGAGACAGACAGACAGACAGAGACAGACAGACAGACAACATAATTAGTATTAGAGACTAAAGTTCTAAAATAACCATTGAACAAGGTAAGAAAATGAATTTTTGGCAGATTCTACATTTCCTTTGTTTTCTTTCTTAGATCTCATGCTCTTCCTTAACTACCTTTAAACACATTTTATACCAGTGTGGTGGCTTATGCCTGTAATTCCAGCAATTGTGAAGGCTGAATCAAGGTTAGCTTGGACAACTTAGGGAGACCCTGTCTCAAAATACAATTAAAAAGGGCTGTAGATGTAGCTCAGTGATAAAACTACTTTCTTAGCATGTGCAAGGCCCTAGGTTCAATTCCTTGTACTGAAAAAAAAAAAAAAAAACATAAAGCAATCATTGTTTATTTTCAAAGAAATAGAAATGACTTCCCTGTGTTGTATGCTCCTGGAGGATGCTGTAATTTTTTAGAAATGAATTTTTAAATCTTGACATTCTTTTCCATTGTTTCAGCTTTGGAATGTACAAAGCAAAAAAAGAAAAATTGTATAGCTTACCCCAAAGGAAAAATTTGTTGAAGAATGAAATAAAATAGGGGAGGCTGGGAATAAATGCCTTACATCATTCCTTTAATATTGAAAATAACGTGTATGAGAATTAAATTATGCAGATTTTAAATAGCTTAAGGATATTAATATTTATAGAAATTACTGTAATTTAACATAGCTTCCAGTTATTTTATTGTTTCTGTTAGAAGTGATTTTATGTAAACCTTCTCTAYGTTCTGGTAGGGAATATTACCATGTGAGTTTTTGAGTTAGACCCCATATTGAGGGATTTAGTCATCAAGGAATAAGAATGAATTAGAAGGAATTCTTTCTCTAGATTTGATCCTTTTAGAATTAGAAATCTGTATTAGAATAGAAAAAGGCCTAAGGTATCATTTATGGTTCTCTTCTTTGTATGAATTAGGAATAGATGCTGAGAGGTCAAATGATTTGCTTAATGGTTGCGAGGCCAACACACTGACAGTAATTTAGAAGCAAGTTAGCCATGCCTCTTACATAGGTGAGCAGWTCTAATCCATCATGTTGTTCAGGCAATCTATATCCCAGTTGTATTGGGAAGTAGCATACAAGGAAAGCATGGGCTTTAGTGTCAGACAGAATCAGTTAAATTTTTGTTCGACAACATACAGGCACAATGACTTGGGGAGTTTCACCTTTCTTGCTGTTGCCAATAGGAATGTGGAGGAAGTTAAATGTTGTCCTACATGAAAGCAGAACCTGAAACTGTGTCTTAAAACTCCCTCTACTCCCCAAAAGTAAAACCTATCTTTTTAYTTTTTGCTTTTTGTTTACCTGTCCTTTGGTTGCTGGCATTTTCTAGCACATATAATTGTAATCTAGGTTAAATGTCATTTGATTTCAACATTGTGCTATGTCCTCAGTTTTAAAGGTCTTCTTTCATGTAACCTAGTATATCATTTTAAGGAAAATCTGAGTTATACACTTTTCTGAGGAATGAATTTATTAAGTAAATTATTCAGCCAGTGCCTGATCTCTACCAGGCATTGGGGATAAAATGGAAAAGAATATGCTCATAAAGTCTGAATATCAAATAATAAGATCCTGCCCATTGCAAACTAGGATCCAGTTTTAGGTTGGCTGAAGGGGATTAGGGCTATACCTATGCCAGCTTTTCAGTGTTTATAGTGGAGATGGTAGGATACATTTTCTTTATGTGAAAAATGACATTTACCCACTAATGTATAATTAGATCAAAATGAGATTTTACTAAACCCTACAGAAATTGTATTAGTTTCTTTAGAATAAACCAAGATTTCTCCTTTTTTTAAGMAAAGGAGAATATGTCAAGTATATAATGAAAAGCATAGTCACTGGACAATATCCAGTTTTTTTGTTATTAAAAAGCATTTATTATTTTCTGATTATAAAAGTAATATGATTTKAATATATTTTCAAAAGCATACCATAGTTAMATTATTTTTAAATTTCAAGRTTATTCTCAATTTTTATACCTTTGTAAATAATATTATGATAAATATTGATTTTCCCCCATTGGGATAGTGACTACAAAGTGAAATAAATGCCTAGTCAAACAGCCAAAAAAATATGATACTTTTTGACCTACCTTTTTAATTTCCAAATTACTTTAGCAAAACATTATCACTCTACCCTCCTACCAATATGGGTTATCTTGTTGCAACCTAGAGCTAAGAGATATTCTTTAACAGAATCTTGCTAAGGATGGAGGTGAAGGTTAAAACAACTACTGCTATTACTTGGGACTGAATTAGAGTGGAGAAAAAGTGTACAGTTTAAGCAGCAAAGAGATAATGTCATGAAAAGTGCTGTTCTGGTTACTATGGGTTCTTCTCATTAAGCTTAAATTTAATATGAGGATTTTAGGGCATGGGAGACCAAGCTTGGAGAGTGGTTATTCTGCCCTTACCTCCTCTGTGCTGCTGCTATGCCACCTGACACATTTCTATTTCTGAACGTCATTTTTTTTGCAGGGAAAAAAAATCATCAGAAGATTTAAAACAACACTGTGTACCCCAATCAGTTTTTTTTTTAACTGCAGAAATTAAAAGGCATTGTATGTTCTGTTAAATATTTATGTAGTAGACTATTGATGTCTTCATTTAAATCTGTCTTTTCAGATGCAAATTAGACATGGGTTGAGGTAGGGAGGTGTAAGATCTTTCCCATGAAAATGTTCAAGTGCATGATTCTTTGGAACAGCCATCTGATTGTTTTTGTCTAGAAATCCTGGATTCACTATTTTTAATAGATTATTATTTTGCTTTATAAAATTTTTTAATACCTTCTTGGAATATTTTGATATTTCTTAAATGAAGGAGGTTTTAAAAGATTTTATCTTTTAGAAAGTTAGTATTATGTTTAATATTTATTTATATTAAATTTATTTTTTAAGTAAATTGAGGATATATTTATGTCATGTTAAACTATGTCTTTAATGTATGTGCTCATTTAAAACCTCACACTTTCAAAAAAAACACACTTGTCCTTAAATATATAGAATATTAGTTTTATTTGTTGTTTGTTTTTACCTCTCTAGAGTATCTTGGAATTTAGGCATTTTTTTTTTTTTTTTTGCATAAAATGTTCTTTTATTTCTTTACATCAGAGAACTTGAATATTTAATTTACTCTTCAGTAAAGCTGTCAGTTGTAATCTGCAATTTAAAAAAAAAAAGAACCTAATAGAACAAATCCTCATTTCACAATTTAAACCTTATTGAATTTAATTCACTAGCACTGCAAGTTTATTATTCTCCTGCAGGTTGACGTGCCTCCAATTGTAATTGTGTTGACCCTTCAATGCGTTAAATCTCCCCAGTGCTTATCAAACTGGGAGAGATAGATCTACAATTTGGAACTTCATTAAATATCTCATTTATATTAAACACACCGTAGCTTCTAACAGAAATAATAATTTGTTCAGACAAAGCAAGACAGTTTCAGTTTCATCCATTTCGAATGTATGGGCTTCTCACACTTGGCCTTGGTGCCCTGTTCCTGCCTGTGCCTTGCATCTACCCTCCTTGGTCTGACTGGCACCAAAGCCTCATAAGAAGTTAGTCCATGAAGTTAACCTCAGAGCATGACTAGTGACAGTTGTATTTAAGTGTACTTTGCTTTTCCTTGAAGCAGAGTTGTTTCAAGGTCTTATTAACCTAAATGTCTTATTTATGTGGAGATTTGGACTTGAAAGACACAGCAGTTTTAAGGAATGCCACATACTATTTTAATGTGTAATCATAGAAATTGACCTGCATTTTTTTGCTCATTTAGTAGATTGCATATTTGTTAAACACTCTTATCTGTGTATTTTACCAGAATATTTGGTCTTTATTTCCATATTATTCTGTATGCTGTTAAAGTGCTTATTTCAATTATTACTACTTCATATTTAAATATTATTCTAAGATGATACAATGGTTATTCTGAGTTTCTACTAGAAGAAATTTAGATTCATTATATTATTGAAAACACTTACGCTGAAAAATGGAGGAGCTCATAATTCTACCAGCACACAGGCAAAGAGGTGTGCTAATTGTTAGAAATATTTACATACTGTATGTAATAAAACTATATCCCAACTCCAGCTTCTATTCTGATAAAGCATGTCTTTTACAGAACAACATTTAGTAAGGAATTATGAATTAAACTATAACTTAAATTGACTTCAACAGATACTAACAGTGAAATTGAAAAAAATAAGCAACCAGATAAGATTTTTTAAAAAAAGCTTTTAATATACATATTTTTTCTCTGGTGGTTACAATCTGACAGAACTTCATGGGARGCATTGTCTAAAGTGGCACAGAAAGTTGGTCATTAGGCAGAGCTGTCATCACAAATTATTTTGGTACAGGGTGAAAAGTTCTAGTTCATTTGGTACCCAGTTGGATACAGGCCTTGGGCAAGTTGTTATAATTCCCCCATGCTGCTAATGGGCCTCCAGGACTGATTCTCCCTTGCCCCCGCTTTCTGTATAGCTAAAGTCACCTGGGAGCCCCCCTGGATCTGAGCTKCCCATTGAAACAGTGTTGGATGATAGAGAACGAAGAATTTCCCATTCCCTCTACAGTGGGATCGAGGGACTTGATGAATCACCCACAAGAAATGCTGCACTCAGTAGGATAATGGGTGAGTCAGGTAAAACTCTGTTTATCTCATCTTATGTTTATGCTTTCATTGGTTCACTGAGAGGTTATTAATGTAATATTAATGTAAAGGAGACCCATGTTTCCAAGAGGAAAGAGAACAGGTTCATTATAATCATTCAGGAAGCATTAATGTGAAAAGAGTAAATCAATACATCGATTTGTTAAGTGAGTTTCAGAGCCCATAATATGTGGAAAGAAGAAAAAAGAAAAGGTTCATAAAGAAATGTTTTTTTTTGTTGTTGTTGTTGTTCTTCAGGGATCAAGATATTCTTAGCTTGCTGGAGATAACCAGTGAAGCTCTATTTTTAAAAATGTCAAAATTTAGTGGTGTATGGCAACAGGATTTAAAAGTTATATGTCATTCACTGCTTAGAGGAAGAGGAAAAAATATGTATACATATGGTTATGCACCTTTATTAAATATTCATATTTATTTTGTTTATACTAATTAGGATAGTCATATCTTTTAATTGTATTTCTACATTTTCAAAGCTTCATTCTCAAAATTCTATAACTAGTCTTCTGCATCCTTTGTTTGAATTCAACACCATACTGTCTGCATGGCCCCCAGTGGGTAATGAGGTTATTAGCACTTGCTCTGCAGCAGTTCAGCTTTCTACTAACAGATCCAGTTAATAAAGACTTTCTCTGCCACAGGAGTGGTTGGATTTGCAGAATTGCTCATCTTGGGATTGGTTTTCTGAGATTTTTCAAATTTAAAACATAAGTGATGGTTTGATTAAAACAACAGCTGACAGAAAACACTGGTTTTACTGGTATATTTTGCAAGGCTCTCATTTAAAATTAAAACCTAAATTTAACACCATTTTGAGTACATTTAATGCAGAYTGAATACACTTTAAGTTTCCATTATGAGACTTCATTGAAATAAGAATTTGTGGAGTTCATCAGTGGGTGTTTATGGAAAGCCTGCTATTGGCAAGACTTTGTGAATTTGCTTTTTGCTGTAGATACAAAGATGAGTAAGAAACAATCTCTAACTTTGGAGAACTTTCTACTGGGCATAATAGAAAAGATTATTGATATATGACTAGTAGAATTTTCTGTTGTTCTTTCTCTAATCTTCTAGCTTTCTCATTTGGAAAAATTGCTAATAAACTCTGGATTTCTTATCTTGGTACATGTAGAGCTAACACATGCCAGGTCTCTGGTTTTACTCTGTTGGCATTTTCTGTTTATCTGCTTGTCAAAAGAGAAATTTAGGGCAGGATGCTTTTTTTTTCACCAACAAAAGTTGGGTGAAAGGCCTTGTGCATAGTTTATCACACATATTCTTTGCTTATTAATTATCACTCTCTTCACTGCAGTTGGATTTTTCCATACTTTCTTGGCTTTGGTGTAAAACTTTATCCRTGTTGAATTCTTTTCTATTGATGAAATTTTAGATCCCTTGAGAAAGAGTGTGTGTGCATGTATCCCTGGATCTGTGTGCATACAAAGTGATATGCTGTAATTTCCCCTTTGTTATAGGAACATAGGACTTGCCATACTGAATCAGACCATTGGTCCACCAGTTCCTGTAACCTGCATCCTGCCTCCAATCCCTGATGCTTCAGAGGAAGGCGAAAAACTAAAACTTTTTAAAAATCAAACAAATATCCCAAAATTTTTAACCTAGTGACTTGTGGAAATGCTGTATATATGGGTTGAGGATTTTTTGTTTTCTCCATAGTCTGTCACCCTGATTTTTTTTTTTTTTTTTTTTAGCTGTGACTGTGTTAGTCCTCTTCATCCTGCATTCTAGTTGACATTGTTTCCCCTTCCCTCAGCTAGATATGTAATGAGTTCTTATATTCTAGATGCCTTCCTATGGCAAGAATTAACAGCCTAGTTCTGTATCTGGTGATATATTGTACATGTCCTTTGGCTGGGGAGTGACAGATTTATTATTGTTTGATGGTAGGCCAAATTGATGTGTGATATACATGTTTCCTTAAGACAATTTGTTTACATGTTATACTAGAAAGTGGGGATCCTGTGCAGTTTTACCCTGAAGCATGTATATGCTTAATTTGATTTATCTTACATTTTATGTATTCGAGACTTAGGCAGACTTTTACCTGTTCTTGTTCTAGTGTCATCGGCCCTAAGATTCAGATGCTATTCCTAAAGTTGCTTAACACACAAAGTTAGAAATCTTGTAAAAGATGTTACTTTGGAACCAAATACCAAAATACAGGACACCATATATAAATATGAGAGCACTGACCTTCCATTAGCCTACATTAATAACAGTGGTATTTATTGGTTTGCACAGTGTCGAGGAGCATAGAAATTTCTCACACAGATCCTGTTTAATTAATCGTTGTTTTCTGTACATTTAGAATCACTCCTCTGTGATCATTGTGGACATGAYGCCATTTACTGCATTTTCTGGTATGCTAGGAAGAGAATGCTATATGGAAATTCCAGAGGATTACATTACGAACTGATTATTTTATGTGAACAGGGCAAATTTTCACACACAATATTCCCTAAGTAAGACTGGACCAGTGTTTTGAGGCCTTGTGATCTATTTCTTTGATAACACATCCCAGAAGAGAAGCTTCTACAAAATAACACCCCCCCCAAAAAAAAAAAATGGAGCAGACTTTCCACTTGGAGGGATGTCGGATGTCATCAGTCACACACTTTCTCACTTGCCAGATAAAGGAACTAAGTCCCAACATCCCAGGATGATTTTTGTTTTATTTGGTTTTTGGCTATTTCTGCTTTCTAAAAATAGCCCTCTCAGGGGGAATGCTGAGATCACACAGTAACTGTGAGTGACACTCATGTCATTCACTCCTTATTCACATCAATTTAAAAGTGTCCAGTCCTTAAGTAAAAGCATTAGTTTTTAGAATCTATTTCATCCCACATCCATTGTGATCTAAAAGTTAAAGAAGTTCATGTTTGAAATAACCTTAGAAACTATGTAATCCATCCTTCATATCCTCTAACTCAAGGAAGTTATGGACCAAAGAAATTAAGTGACTTTTAACTAAAACTSTACAGTTTCTGTGTTTCTGAATCAAAATTTGGATTTATACTTTTCTGGATCATGGGTCCCATATTTGTCACAAATGAATTGTGACCAAAGGCTAGATTTCTCCAAATATCATCTGTTTTTACTGAATTCCTGCTGTCATGGATTTTAAAAGCAAAACTTGCATATCTATCAAAAGAAGTAACCTGTAGTGAGCCCACATAGGATTTCTTCCTTTGAAGAGGCTTGAAAATGTTTTCTAATTTTTGGACCGTCTTAATTAATAACAGTAATGAAATAATAGGAATAGTTAATTTAACCAATACGTTTACTCCATAAAATACAGTACAAGTTGATATTTGAGGGCATCAAAACTTAAATTTTCCCTCAACATTTTTATCTGAACAAATTTTGTTTAAAGCAAAGCAGAAATTTGTTATATCTCTTTTAGAAGTTATCTCAGTTGTGTCTGTATTCATACATTTGTGGTGAGTTGAAATTTTGTTCAAACATTTTCACCTTGTTAGAAATTTGACATAGAAAAATGGGATATTGATGTTATCTGTCATATCACTGGCATAATTTTCCTCATCTCATTTGTTTCTAGTCTCATTCATGATATTACATTCCATGTAAAATTTACCAATGAATAAATGTTTAGTAAACAATAATTTTGTATCTCATTGTTTCACTCTTCTATAAGATATTGACTGGTTTACTTCTTTTTTTGTCCATGGTGATTAACTAGCTGAGGACAAAGGATGTTTGTTTTCTTTTTTCCATCAAAAAACAGATAGAATTCTTCTCAAGTCACTCTTATAAGATTTCAATCTCAGGATGTGCCAAGTACTAGTAAACATAATTAAGAGATTTTGGTGTTATCTTGGTGGAGCTTGGTGGAAAGTATAGTTAAGTGGCTTAGTTGTTCACTACTCCAATTGATTCTTGGAGCCAAATCCCAAATCTATTTCCAGCCAACATGCTGAGAAGTGAAAAATTAATGGAAAATATGAGTAATCAAATCTTGTTAAGTATCAATCGCCACAATCATGGGTGAGAGAAAAACTTCAATTTTTTTTATATAGTTCTTGGCATTTATGWATGTCAAAAATCTTGGATCATTTAAGGTACAATATTCCTATTCCAAACAACATTAGAAAATAGGATTATCACATGAACCAATCAATGTTTCATATCAATTATTAGATATCACTCAGGATATACTGTGTCTTTGCAAGAATTTTAGTTTTTGTGTTTAAAACTATGTGCATTATTATTACTCTGTCATATTTTCTTCAGTAAAATATGCTTGAGTGAAGACATGGTATTTAATGTTGTGGATAATGCCTCATTGGTGTTAATTGTAGGTCAAGGTTAAACCTCATTTTATAATTCTGTATACTTTTGAGAGAGAAAAACAGATCTTGAGGAGGATACAGTCTTTTGCTAATTTACTAATAGTGCTAGAATGCCCTACCTAACATACATACAAATGGTATTTTGGTGAACAGGTTTCTATACTTATATTCCAAATCTTGTGTAGGAAGAAATAAATTATTTGAAATCAAAAAAGGGAAATGATTACATGTTATATTTGATGTATGTTTTTATCATGAGCATTCATATAAAGCTGCCAGTTTTTATAGTAATACAAACTGGTGCATTTGAAATCAAAGTAGAAAGTTTTTCTTGATAAGATGCCCAAGTAGAGGTTTCAATGAACATGTAGTGTTTCTATACTAGAGTAGTCAATGCTAAATAATGAATGCATTTGAAATTTCTAGCAAGTTTTCTTTTGTGGGTTGTCCTGGAAAAATACAGCTTAATTTTTTGTTTGTTTGTTTCTTTGCAAAAGTGTCCCGAAAAATATATTTTGTACTCAAAAAAAAAAAAATCCTTTAAGCCTATCTAGAACACACCCTACATTTCTGTGGATGTTTTCTTTCTTTGTATTTTATTTATTTATATGCAGTACCCAGTGACTCATACATGCCTGGCAAGTGTGCTAGTGCTGAGCCCCAGCCCCAGCCCTAGATGTTTTCTTTTAAAGTTACTGAACTCTCTATACATTGCTGTAGTGTTATGTAAAAACAATAATTTTTAATGAAAGGAAAGTTCTCCCAGTGTAAAATGGTGGTGGATTTTACTTGGATAGGAACCCAAATATAGCTGATTTGGAAATTGAACTTAAAATGAGAGCTTTTCTATGCTATGAGTTGGACAGAGAAACTGTCAGAGCTGTTTCCTTTGTTGAGAACTCAGGTTGTGAACTTCATGCCACGAGGATATTACTGTGAATATAGCCTCTCCCATGGTATCCACGTGGATCAAAAGCCTTGGCAATATGTTCTTGTTGAGAAGAAGCATGGTGTAAGATTTTAGGAAGAACCTACAAGAACTGTAGGTGATTTTGGGGGAAAAAGATGACATCATTTGGACCCCAGCTTTATCATTCCAGAGTCAGACCCTTGTAACATAATTCTGTCCTTATAAAGATTGTGACGTGTAAATGACTGTTAATGCTTATCCATGAACCTGAGCAAATTGTACTATGAGAAACTAGACAGTATAGAAAATTATAGSTCTTTCCTTACCAAGAACATTGTATCCTAACTGAATAAATAAAAATTTACCAGTTCTATAGTCAAGGCCTTAAAACCTCAAAGGCAATCAGAGTCTTCAGATCCTTTTTTTTTTTTATTCCAACTTTAACATCAGTCTGTCACCTCCCTTCTCACAAGCCTTGATTCTATGCTTACTCCCTTTGAAGCATCACCTGAATGTACTATGAGCTTAAAGACAAATGCCATCATTTCTTCTGGCAGAAAAGATAATATTCATTATTAAAAACCCAACTCTGATGCTTACTTTTGTTGAGGTCACCAGCACTCCCTATGCCCAGCTACCAAGGCAATTACCAACRCCATGTGAATGCCACAGAACCTTTGACATGGCACGCACACCAGTTTCTGCTGAGTGCCTTCCTCCTTATTTGCCTGTGAACTCTTTGGAAAGAGATTATGTCTTATAGTACCTCCCCAGGGTAGTTGTCCAATGAATGAATGGATGAATGATTGATGTACATTAATAGGGCTTTCCTCTAAATTTCCTGGTAAAAATTTTCAAAGAACTTTTCATAGCTTAGTATAGGCATAGCAGTTTCATATTAGAAGACATTTTGATGATTATCTTTGGCTGTAGGTAACTTAAAACCAGATAAATTGTATACTGTGCCCAGAGCTACATAGCTGAGGTGTTTGAAGTAATAACAGATTTGAGGCTTCTGTTTGACAATCATTGATGAGGAATAAATGTGCTAAATTCTATTTTGTTCTACCAGGTTTAACAGATATGTGGAAGTTTAGGCATTTTCTAATTTAGCAAAGTATTAAAATGAATAGGCATAGCAGTTAGAATTTTTCTTTTTCTTTTTCCATTGGACAGGTAAATACCAGTTGTCCCCTACTGTGAATATGCCCCAAGATGACACTATCATTATAGAAGATGACAGGTTGCCCATGCTTCCTCCACATCTTTCTGACCAGTCCTCTTCCAGCTCCCATGATGAAGTGGGATTCACCATGACAGATGCTGGCACCTGGGTTAAGGCTGCAATCAGTGATTCAGCTGACTGGTAAGTTTGTAGTACAGGATTCAAAAACATTAGTTAATTGTGGTTGCATTTTATTTTATATTTTCTATGGCTTATCAATGAGCCCAATTCATTTATTTTTTATAGCTTTTTTTTCAATTTTCATGTTCTTAATGATTATATACTGCTAACCTGTAAACTTGCTCAGGTATTTTAGCCTTCAAATACTATAGTTAGTAATTTAGCTAAAACAACAGCAGAACTAACCCTACTCATCTGCTTTCAATGTTTTGTTATATATTTTAGATTTCTGTTACRTTGGCATTGTATTTTTATACAATAAATAAATTGTATTCAAATCCCCAATTTATTTGCTGAAATTAGATGCAAAACTAATAGTTAATGTATGCCAGAGATGAGGGGGAGAGAGTTACAAAACTGTTTAAAATCTTTTGCCTTTGTTTTTAGCAGGAATTTTTGAGAAATTCTCATTCCATTTTTTTCTGTCATATCTTTAAGAGTAGAAGAAAGCACTTGATATTTTTGAGCCAGTGTGTGGCTCACAAATGTGGATGGGTACCTTAATCCACATCCCTAGTAGTTAAGTACATCAATAAGCAAAAGGAAAGTCCCTCTTAGAGATAACTCATAAGATGGAGAGACCATTAGCATGAACCTGTGAAGTATTAAACCAGAATTTTCCTATTTCCATTTCTCTAGGATCTTTCATAAGCACATAAGTAAAACTGTATTTAAATGTTGTGTCATTGTTCCCTCACTACTTAGCAGTTTCTACTTCCTACTCTTTCCCTGACTTGAGTCAACATTAAATGTCAGATTCAAGGTATTCAGAGGACTGATTATTTGTGTTTACATTTTAGCAATGATTTTAACAAGGCAAACCACTCCCCTAGTCATCTTCTCCCACTCACCAGATGAAATCATAAAAACCTAGTTCATTCATCTGTCAGTTCTGCAGATGTTCTCTTGGAATAACTTCACCTGTTAGTTGGGCCCTTGAAAAGTTCATCTCTGGCTTTTTTTTTTCTTTTTTAATTCTCTTTTTGAAAATACAGTATATAAAAATAGATCTCTGCTAAGCCTACATAATAGCTTAGCTTTGAATGAGTTTTTTTTGGTTGAATATAGCGAGGGTGACTACAATATACAGTAAAAACCCATTTGAACTGTGCAGATGCTGTTACATTGCTGCAGTTTATGTCACTTTCTGAAAGCGAGAGCARTAGCAGAGAGAGTTAAGGTTTAGATCTGTGCGGTATTCATCTTGGGGACAAAAGCCTTTGAATCTCCACCATGATGAGAAATTGTGGGGGTGGTCATAGGAATAGATCTATTTGGGGCTTTATAAAGGACTGCATTGATGAACAGAAATAAATAACGTGTAGGGATAGATTGTGTTATTGATTTCCCTAAGGGGGATTTGCAAAAATGGTAAGGACTGGTGTGATTTTGCTGTGGGGAATGTGGGGCAAAGGAAAGAATATGAATGAAGGGTTATCCAAACAAGAATGGCAGCTGTTCTGCATCACAGCAGAAAATGTAAGCTTCTCCAGTCTGACAATATCTCCCTAATCTTTGATGAAAATGTTAGGAAAACAAAAGGGMAATAAGACAGGATTAATAACTGGAATTTTAATAACACTGGGGGTCAGGATATGGTTACATTCTTCAAAGAATCATCTGTCAGTCCTGCAGTCTAACTATTTAAATATTGCAGTATACTGTTTATTTGTCTGAAATTAGTTTAATGGATATATTGATAGGGAACAATTAATTATGTTATGGTTTGAGAATATTTAGTTATTTTAAGACTCTTATTAACTCACAAACTCATTTGACATTTTGAATTGTGTATATTTACAGTTMATTTCACAATTGTAGAAGGCTAAATATGTCAAATGGCTAAACTTCTAATTTGTAACCTAATAAAATATGCTTTTCCCAATCCATCAATTAATTCAGGGAACAGTAATAGTTTTTTAAGGGGGGAAAAGGCATAGCAGCAGTTCTATTTTTAATTACAACATAAACTTTGAGGATATAAAATTAGTTGAAAATATACTTTATGGGGACATTAGGCAACATGGGCAGCTATAATTTGTAATTCTTTGAAACATCTTTGCCAATAATTTCTTTTAAAAATCTATTTCAAATTCATTCCGTCCACAAGCTTGATGCCTTCTTGGTGTTCAGGTTTTGAAGTGTTCTGAATATTACCCTTCCCCACTCAATGATTTGCTAAACATGTACAGGATGATTGAAGAGATCTACTTTCAGTATATAAAAGAGTATAAAAGAGCTACTATTATTGGAAATACATTATTTCCAATTTGATGCTACAAAATTGAGGGATAGTGAGTTTTAATTTTACATTTCTAAAACTGTGTTTCTTGAGTAAATTCTTTGTACTCTGGAAATTATGAGCCATCTATCCCAGAGCAGAGTATATAGATGTAAAGGGGCACTCGGGACTTCAAAATAAACGACCCTACTTCTTCTTGGAGCATCAAATTTATTGAGAGGTTTTTTTTTTTTTGGGGGGGGGATGTGATATTGTGTTTAAAATGGAATTTTTTAGAGGAGAATGACAACAAAATGACATTTCTTGAGTATGGTATTTTGCAAAACTATGAAACAAAACTGTTTTTGCCTTCGACTAAACTCCTAGTCTCTCTGGGATTTATTTTCTCTTTTCTGTATACCTTCACCCGAGGTAGGATGAGGCAAAAAGGTGCTCTGGAGGCAAAATTTAAGGAAGGCTCACTGTCAGATGTTAAYGCTATACTTCTATGACCTTAAAAGTGAATACTTCCTTAAATTCTGGGCCCCATATACCCGGTATTTCACCCTTGGGTCCTCTCTGTGTTTGGTGGAAAAGATTGTCCAATTCTTTTATGTGGGTTTTTTGAACACCATCATTTGCATTACTTTATAATTTGAGATTGATAGTCATCATTGGGTAATAGTAACTTATTTTCTTCAGTGCTCAGTAGTATACAAAGGGCTTTCATCTTAAGTCCCAATTATCTCATTAGATGGTTAGGAAGCTGTTCTCCTGTTGAGCATATTAAGGCATATTGGTTCAAAACTTCATGGTCCCTCACCTAGTGGTAGAGATTTTTCTCTGGTACACTACTTTTCACATCTTTCAGTTTAGCTATCCTTTAAAAGCTAACTCATTTTATGCACAGCAAATATGTTTTTGATTCCAGCCAAACCAGATCACACTGCCCTTTCACCAGTATGAATGACAATTCTTGTAMAGCTATAAAGGCTTAGAGAAGCTTGCTTCCATCAGAAACATATAGAAGTCTATCATAAATTCAGCTGACTTAATGGAAATGGTCCCCTCCCATCCTCAGTATGTTCTATTGCAGTGGTCTCTGGCCAGATAGGTAAGGTGGCTCTACCCTGATAAAGGAGAGTTGGTATATTTATTTACTGAGCATGTCCATACAAGGGGAAAAACATTCCCATGGTATGAACTGTGCTCAGAACACCTGGTGATGCTTTTTAAAATGTTCACAGATTTTTACACATGAGAGTGATTCTATGTCATCTCCAGCCACTTCCGCTGGAAGAACACTTTGGAATATATCCTGTTACCAGTGATTTGCCATATGCTTTCCTATCATCTCCATTTGAGCCACTGAGTTGGTGCCACCCAAATCAAATGTCATCTAAACTTAGTTATGCTTTTCCTGACTCCTTCATATACTGTTAATTCTCTCATCTGTGCATCCACAGCATCTGTTTCATGCTTTAAGTTTACACAGTATTTTTCTTATGAACTTGTAGAACTTATGAACTTAGCTTCTTATTTTGACCCTTGTCTACCCAATCCAACACTTTAATCAGGATATGTTTTGATAGARGTCTGTTGAATTTTTAGTTGATTAACTATTTCAGATGAACAGTAGCCTCATAAAACCACCCATAAAGGTGGGGGTTTTTTCCCTTTCTTTTATCCCCCTTTCCTGAAATACATGATAAAGACAGAAAAGAGTATGAGGACACATCTTTTTTGGAACTTTTATCCAGTTACAGTTTATATGGCCACTTTTTTGTGTGTCAGTCTATGTATGTAGTATATGGCAGGTTTTCTCAAATATTGAATCCTTCCAATATCGGGCTCATTTTTACTTTTATTTATTTTTTCAGTCCTGGGGAATTGAACCAAAGGCATCTTGCTTCTTAGGCAAGTGCTCTACCACTGACCTACCCCTTAGTCTTTTTAAAAATTTTTTTGGTTCTGGGTATCAGACCCAGGGTTGCTTTACCACTGAGCTACAACTCCGGCCCTTTCAATTTTATTTTGAGACAGTCTTTTACTAAATTGCCATGTTGTTTTTGTACTGGCAATCCTCCTGCCCAGCCTGTAAGATTATAGGTGTGTACCACCATGCCTGCACTTATCCCTTCTTTGTTAATAATCACTTAGAAATAATGATTTGTCAAACAGAGTGAAGAAACAGAGAGGTAAAGGAGAAAATTCACAGATAGACTCTGGATGTTAAATTAATTTTGTATATTTCCATCACCACCTATTCAGCCACAGTTTTATTAATAAACTTCATTTGTGTCATTCATCTTAAATTGTTTTGATAAATTATATATATATATATATATATATACACACACACACACACACACACACACACACACACAAACACAAAATCACATGCATATACCTGCATGTACACACATAAAGTATGTATAAATTTTTCTTCAATTGGATGTCTTCTATTTTTAGTAAATACTTTTATGTTTATCTTTCTTTTCATACCAGCTCTTTGAGTCCAGATGTTGATCCAGTACTTGCTTTTCAACGGGAAGGATTTGGACGCCAGAGTATGTCAGAAAAACGCACAAAGCAATTTTCAGATGCCAGTCAATTGGATTTCGTTAAAACGCGAAAATCAAAAAGCATGGATTTAGGTAGTGAGTACAATCTCCATGAATCTTTATCTAAATAAGGTTTAGATGCTTTCAGGATAAAATTGGTAGTCCCAAACACATGTSTGTTTACTTTTGAGCAATAGAGAAAATAAATGTGAAATGTGGCAATTTGGCAAAAATTAGTTTCCCTCTGAGTTTGAGATAACTGTATTACTCATAAGTGGCATGTTTTCATAATATGCAATATGTTAATATGTTTTCTTATGAGAAAGGAAACAAGCACATGTGCATATCATGCTATATTCATATATCTTTATTTTTAAATCTGAAATGTTTTTAACACTTTTGGCTATTTAAAAAACAATTTCATTAAAATTATATTTGGTTTGTTGTGGGATTTTTAACCAGAAGACAAAAATTTTGGAGAGAAACCATTATCTCAATCCATGTCTGGAATTTGGTACTTTACGATATCTTCCTTTCATTGCTATCCTTTAAGGTTTATTTAATAGAACCTCTTTGTGTTTTGAGAATTAAGACATTTAATCAAATTAATAAAAATAATTTGAGAGGATATTTATTGTAAAAAGTAATGGGAGCAAATGAGAGGAGGAAAATAACAATAATTGTTCAATCAGACACCAATCAGGTAGTGTCTCTTTTTAAATCCAAATCCACAAAAATAATAATAATAATTAAATTTGTAAAGTGAATGATTAAAAAAAATTGTTAATCAAATGTGCCTTATACCATTCTCTGGCTGTTTGCACTTCAGGACTAAAAGCATTAATTTATCAGATGCATATAAGAAAAATTTGGCGATGCATTGCCTTGGCTAATTATGATATGCTAACATATAAATAACACACGTCTGTGAAATGAAATGACTGGCATATTGCATGGAGACACTGCTTTTTTTCTCCTTTAATTTTTGATTATGAATGTTTGCTTGATGTTTTATATTATTTGCATGAAATATTACCTAAGAATTGTCACCTAACTGTAAAGATCTGGGAATGGTTGAAGCATGTTGGGCTGTGGGGACTAACTGGGCTAACCATTATACATTTACCTTTTAACAGTAGCTGACGAGACTAAACTCAATACAGTGGATGACCAGAAAGCAGGTAAGAATGGACAGTTAGGCTGTTGCCATAGAAACAGTGGTCCAAGGAGCTTATCACAATTATAGAGCTGCCAATCATATTGCATGTAAACATAAGTATTCCAGTCTTGCACAGATGTTTTCATTGTGGGAAATCAAATTGTATAATAAAGGAAAAATTTTCTCTTAGGATAGATTCATCAGTGGTATACATACTAAATGGAAATGCAACGTAGTGCATTTACAATGTTAGAAACAATCTAGATTTTCTTCATTTTTTGAGATGGGGTCCACAGTCTGTTGAACTCCTGGGCTCAATCAAACTTCATCCTTAACTTCTTCAGTAGCTGGGGTTTATATTCATATGCCGCCACACCCAGTTCCTAGATTTTTCTAATTATTGTGTAGGAATGTTTTATCCTCATTTAAGAAAAAGCAAAATCCTGAAAACTTGTTCTCTATGGTAGACTCTGTTAAGTTTTTAAGTAATTTACGTGATGTCTAGGTTACATCCAAGTTTCAAAGTGTTGATTTTTATTTGAAAGATAACATTACAATATAAACATTTTTTACTACAGGAAACTGTACATGGTTGCTGTCTTTGATCACTAAGAAAACCTTGGTTCTTTTTTGGGTGTTTGGATTAACTTACAGTTAACTTGCATTGGAGTAGACAATATAATGCATATTGGCTCCATATCTTTGTGAACTTGTTCTAAATTCATTGCTTATAAAAAACACTGCTAGACCATTTCATAGAAATAGTGGATTATACTGACCTGGGTTTTATGKTGTACATTTTATGTTGTTATATGAAAAAAAAAAGTGGAGAAAAKTCTTTAAATATAGTTTAAGGAATGTGCTTTGTTCAATTGAGCACTTGTGTTTCATTATTATAAGTTGGAATCATGTTTTAATTATTCTAGATCCAGGATAATTGAGTTACATCGCTTAGCACTAATTAGCTTWAATTCACCTTTTAACCTGCAGTAGTAATTAGTTTTAGCCTGCTTGAAAAAATGTGTATCCCACATACATATGTAAAGATTATTGTGGACGTAGTTGGAGTTATCATGTTCTGTAGAGTAAAAGATAGATTATAAAAATTACATTCAATAAATCATAAGATTAACTGTATTACAAGGCAATTAATTATAAACTCAGCCCTTACTAACTAGTTATTTTTCTTATCAAGTATAAAATTTACTGAAATTTTAAAGCAGGACTAAAGAAAAATATTATTTGATAGCTTACATRTGTAAAATGGGAAATTAGTTTTTAAAGTTGTTAGTTTTTTAAAGAAGTAGCCCTTGTCTACGTTAATGTTACTAAGAGACCCTTTTGAACTGCTCCAGCTAAAGGACATGATTTTGCAAACTATGCCAATTAAGTAAAATAGGGAAAATATTTAATGTAACCAGGTCAAAGCTACTACAAGGAAAAGAACAATTTATTGTTATTTTTAAAATAATGATATCCAGACTTTAACTGAAAGCATTATGTAACTTTCCCAGTGAATAGGCAAATTTTATAATCTGATCAAAGCATATTTTTCTTGTCTTTTAAGATGTTATATACTAGATGAAAAGAACATTTTTCTTTACTATCTGCAATCTTTTCTACCAAAGTAAATTGGAAAATCTTGACAAAAAAATTATTATATAGATATTAAAGTGCCTTTTGGGCTATTGGTTTTAGATCTACATTAATAAAACTTTTAACCTGGATTCTTTCCACCCAATTTTAGTAACATGTTTTCAGTTATTTTTCTTTCTTTATTTCATTTGAATTTTCAAGATTATCATGATTTTTATTCTTGTCCAAGGGTTTTGGGGAGAGTTGTAATTGCATTTTAGCATAGATCATCTGTCTTGTTCTAAGCCTTTCCTAATGAAAACTGAATTCAATTTTCCTTTGACCCTTGCAAAAGACATTAGTCACTGTTTTTGAGTTTTTGTTTCATTGATTTTTGGCAAGAGGGGTAGTAATAAGTAGAAATAGAGAAACAGATCTAAGGCTGGGATATAACTCGTGGTATAGTGTTTGCCTAGCATGTGCAAGGCCCTGAGTTAGATCCACAGGAATGCAAACAAAACAAAACAAAACAGATCTAGAGAAGAAAATATGCTTGTGATCTTTATTCCCAGATCAAGGGTATGAAAGTAGTTGTAGACAGTGAAATAATAAATGGGTGTGCACATGCATTCCAGTGAAATTTTTCAGGGTTGTCCCTTGATTTGCCAGTCTCTGTCATAGAATGACACGTTATAGAGTTGATCTTTTATGTAACTGTTTATTTGAAAGAATATCAATCATATATAAATGCAGAGAGGGTAGTTGATTGACCTCCCTTCCACAAACTCAGTATCAACCATCTACTATTATCAACACTTTGCTAAAATTTTGTATCATAGTGTTATGAGTTTAAGGAAAAAATTAAATAGGTAAAACTCTGAGTCACACTGATAAATTTTTTGGGGGAGRGGGTACTAGGGACTAAACCCAGGGCCTCATGCATCCTAAGCACATGCTATACCATGGATCTCTACTCCTAATCCCACTTAAAAATTTTTATTGCTTTTTTAATTTTACTTTCAMCATTATTTTTCTTTGCAGATTTTCCTGTGTTTATGCTGAGGGACACTCAATTTTAATACATATTCATACCAGTTATTATGTTCATTATTATAGTTTTGTTGCTTTGAGTACATTCACTGCAACCTCATAAACTTAATATATTTAGTAAATGATATTTTTGTGATAATCCTTGCCTATAACATGAAATCTTAGAGCTCTAAATACACACATATGCATTCATATGTACACATCTTTGATGAATCCAAGAAAACATCAAATATTTGCCTAATACATGTTTTATAGAACCCAAATACAGACAGAAAATTATGAAAATTTAAAGGCATAATTTATTTWAAAAAATTTTCCAAATACTAATTCTAGGAAATATAAAGGTAAATATTTCTGGCAGATATGATTCACCCCTTTATTATATTTCTTGATTTCTTACCTTTTGTTTAGTTCTTTGGAAGAAAATTCATTTTCTTTGCTGTGATATAACTTTTATGATTAATTTAGAAAATGTATTTGCCAAAAATTATAATGCTATGAAGATAAAAAGTAAGATTGATCTCTTTGAAATATTCATGTGAAACATACAAAGATGCATTGGGAAAGCTAAACATATCGTCATTTTCTCCCAAGCATGATAACATATAGAATATCATTTCATCATTAGAGTCATGTCTGCCTTTCTGTATATTATTACATTTTCAACAATCTGTTCTTACTTGAAACAACTAACACCATTGTGAAAATGAAGTAAAAGATAAAACAAATGAAGATAAAAAAGAGAATTCTCAATTTGATTCTCTCAATTTAATTTTCATTTTGTATTATACTCTGAGCTATGAAAAGCACATGTCACAACTATTTGTCTTCGAGGTAATAACATGACAAGGCTACTCCTTAATTATTGATCAACATATGGTCTGATGACCCCATGTAGAGATAAACTATTTATTTCTCCTCCCCTCCCCTTTTTTTTCATCTGTCTTTTTAACAGGATAAGTGAAGAACCAGTTCTGTAACCTGGATTGCCCAGGTGGTGGTGCAGAGCTGGTGTTTCAGCCATGTAGAGGCTAAATTAGTCTACCTTTGAGTGCCAGGTCAGGCAGTGATGGATGAGGCTGTCTTACCTGGTTAAAGAAATCAGTTCTGATTGCCTTCTAAGCCTGAGTACTATTGATATTATCTCAGGCCTTTCTGCCCTGGATCTTCAAGAAATAGAGCCAAATTGTTAATTCCCTGAATTCTCCTCTGCCATCCTGCTGAAATTTTCTTGGTAATTGCTAAGTCATCTTCCTTCTGACCCTCACGTGTTTTTCAAACAGGTAGTATTCCCAGGCCTGGAGATGTAAGCACTCACTTCCAACCCTCTGATCTCACTTCTTTTCCCTATTTCTGAGAGAGAGCCCTCACACCATTTGTTTCTTTTACAATCGTGGACTGCGCTTTCACTAGAACATTCTTGTTTTCTAGTATTAGGAAAATTCTAATAAATTCTACCTGGTGCTAGATTGTTCTAATTGTATTGGTGATGGGTTGTATATCTGCATTTATCCATGGGAAGGGGTCTCAGTGAAGCTCATTGGTATAAATGTCTTAACTTCTGCTGTAAATGACTTTATATTTCCAGAAAATGATTTCAGTTGAGTTTAAAAGCTTACTCTCAGTTTCTTGACCTTTTTATAACCTCTGAATTTTAAAATGAGATGCTTGGTTATTCTGGTTCGTTTAGATTATTTATATTATCCGGAGCAAAATGATTTGACAAAAATTTCATCTGTTCAGATAAAAATGGAAACTTGAAACTTAGACTGTTCCCTAGTGGAAATACAGAAAAAAAAAAACCACAATTGAATATATAAACTTGGGAAAAATGAAAATTAGTAATGATTACTTTATTTAACTATTTTATCATTCACATTCTAGTGCTCACCATTGAAAATGACCTATATCCCAGAAGTTTTCTAGAATGCATAGGTATTTGGGTATGTAATATTCCCCTACCTCTAACTAACATTTTGGTTTTTTTGAATCTTCAAGGCTCCCCCAACAGGGATGTGGGACCTTCCCTGGGTCTGAAGAAGTCAAGCTCACTGGAGAGTCTGCAGACAGCAGTAGCTGAGGTGACTTTGAATGGGGATATTCCTTTCCATCGCCCACGGCCGCGCATAATCCGAGGAAGGGGATGCAATGAGAGCTTCAGAGCTGCTATTGACAAGTCTTATGATAAACCTGCCATCGATGATGATGATGAAGGCATGGAGACATGTAAGTTTATAATGGCTAAAGAATACCAGTTACAATTGGCTCCTTAGAGCTCTGGATCTTAAAGTGTGCTTCAGGCAACTCTTGGGGGTTCCTAACATTCTTCAAGGTGACCTCCCTGATCTAAACTATTTTCATAATAAAAAAAAAAATGATTATTTCCCCTTTTACCCTCATTCTTTCTCAAGTATGGAGTGGGGTTTTCTAGGGACATATGTCATGTGATATTGCATTAGACTGAATGTAGTGTCAGATAGGATCATTTCTCTTCAGTTGGTGATAAAATGAAAATTTTGAARAAAAAAATAGAACAGCATTGTTCTCAGGTTCCTTTTAAATAACATAGTTATTTTTGTGAAAATGTAATTTTGATTACTATGAATTGATTTCTTGTTTTTTAATATTTTTATTTTTTGGCTTTCGGGATTGAACCAGAGCCCTTTACCATTAAGCTATATCCCCAGTCCGTTTTATGTCTTAATTTTGAGGCAGGATTTTCCTAAGTTGCCAAGTCTGGCCTAAAACTTTATGATCCTCCTGCGTTAGCTTCCCAAGAAGCTGGAATTACAGGTTTTCCCCACTGTACCCAACTTTTTAAAAATTTATATTCTAAAGCTGTCTCATTTTTACACCAATACATATTGGTAGGTATAAATCACGTACAGAAAAAATTGTTTGGAGTTCTTAATGATTTTTAGGGGTCTGAAGTTATCTCCAGACCCAAATGTTTGACAATCACTGCTGTATAGTGTCTATAAGGTAATAGTACCAGTGAAAATGAAAATGAAAGCACATTTTTGTTACTATTGCTTTACTTGAACTAAACTAGCAAAATTTATTTGTATATGTGTTTGTATTTCCAAATGACAAGATAGTTTAAGCCAAGTTGATTGAGATGGTTTTTTACTGAGGAAAAAAAATGCTTATTTTTAAAAAAAAAAAATGCTTCATGCAAGTTATACTTATCTTTCAACGTTTATTTTAAAAAAATAACCATTTCATTTATGATGGGTTAACTCTACTAATGTATTTACTTAGAAGGGAAAGGTCTTAGACATTTTTAACGGTAAAAGTTATTGATTAATTGATATTGTTCATACTAATAATTTACATTTCACTTTTCTTAAAGTTAAATGTGATTTTATCCATCTAACTCTTTCTTAGAGAAAAGTTGGAGGCCCTGAAGCCCAAAATTATTCCAGAGAGTAGAGATAATTTTTATGGATTGTAAATCACTTTCTTTTTAACATTTGTGTAAACCATTTCTTATCACACATGTCTAAGTAAGACTGTAGTGGGGAAAAATAATTTTAAATTAAAAAGAACACATTCTTAGGAGATTGAAAGCAAAATTATATAATTTTGCCTGTAACATACAAAGTGTTTGGGAAGATGAATATTTCTGCCATACTGTTACATGCAAATAAAACTTAGGAAAAGGATTGCTGCATTTTTCCCCACCTCTGCCTAATTCTTCATCTAAATCTGGACATTTTTTTTTCAATATAATCAGCCAATAGTTTCATATATATGCTGCCTATTCTTGCCAAATGAAGAACATATTTCCTATTTTAGCTGCCAATTCTGGTCTCCAAGATCCTGAGTCATAAGAGCTTTTGACCCTGTTGAGTTTTCTCTTTTTCTAATGATTTCTTGCCATATTAATCTGTATTACTTGACACTTAAAGATTTTACTTGTCTTTTCTGGGTTTAAACTTAATAAAAAATATAGTACTTTGGCTATATTTTAGCATGTATAGTTTATGTGGTTTTGAACTTTTTTCTTGTTCTGACTAAAGTGTTATTTAAGATCCCTGATAAAGTTCAGTTTTCTCATAAGTCACTCATTTTAAATAGGAGATTGAATACATGCTACATTTTGGTGTTAGCCAGCTTCATATTACTGTGATGAAACACCTGATGCATTTAACTCATACAAAGAAAAGGGTCATGTAATTCTCATTTTTGGAGGTTTCAGTCTGAGATTAGGTAGCCCTAGTGCTGTGAGCCTCTGGTGAGGATGCTGCATGTCAATGGTGGGGAGTGTGTAGTGGAGCAAACTGCTCACATCACGATTGTTGAAGCTGAAAGATACCAAGAGATTAGTTCACAATTGCCCTTGATGGCACACCCTCATACAGTCCCATATCTCAAAGGTTCTACTACCTCCCAATAGCACCACCTTGGGGACCATGCCATTAATAAATGAACCTTTGGAGGACATTCATGCATAGCAGTCCTTCATTCTACAGGGACAGCTTCCAGAGTTTTCCACTAAGATGGACAACTGCTTTTATCAGCATATATACTTTTCTTTTAAAATGCTAAATAGCATTTGTTTTGTTTTTTATCATGGGGATTGAATTCAGGGTTATTTAACTACCAAGCTGAATGTACATCCATTTTCAATTTTTTTTTTGTTCTAAGACAGGGCCTCGGTAGTTGCTTAGAGCCTACTAGGTTGCTGAGGTTAGCCTTAAACTTGTGATTCTCCTGCCTCTGGCTTCTGAGTTGCCAGAATTACAGGTGTGCTCCACCACACCTTGATTAAATAACATATTCTTAATGGAAATAACATTCATTTACTTATCTCCAAATGAAAAACAAAAGAGGAAATAGACAAACATGCACTTCTGGATAAGAACTAGAAAAACACCTGTAGCAGATGCTCTAAAACATGCCACAAAATACTGTATTTTTCACAAGTCCTGTTGTTAATATTAATTCTCAGATCAGTCTGCTGCTGTTTAGATATGGCAAGCAAAAAAGCAACTATTATAAATTTCATTTACAGCTAATAATGTTGATATATTAATAGGTGGAATGAGGAATTTCAAAGAGGAATCCTATGCTAGTCTACAGTGTCCTAACAAGGTTGAGATTTGGGTCAAACTACTTAAACCCTTGAGCTTTAATTTCCTCATTTGTAAAACCGAAGATTTGGACAACAAGGTCACTGATTTTCAAACTGTGTGATGTGATCTCTGGTCAGGAGAGGTACTTCCTAATTTGGGGGCGTGGAGGAGGCCCTGAGCTTTATCCCACTACCTACCATTACCTCTCCTCTGCCTTAACAGTTGCTTTTTTTTTTTACTTACTTTTATGTGGTGCTGAGGATCTAACCTAGCACCTCTCACATGCTAGGCGAGTGCTCTACTGCTGAGCCACAACCCCAGCCCTAACAGTTGCTTTTGGTTTGCTTTTATGCATTAGAGTTCTTTGTAAATTTTAGATTTTAAAATCTGTGGTTTGCAGTTTTTAGGAGAAAATTTAACCAGTTCTTACTTAGGCAGTTTAGATTGTTTTTGAGGTTGCTTCTAGATTTAACGTTCCCTGATTATCTATACCCATTTTCTTGTCTACATATATCTTACCTGATAACCCCTCATACCTTCTGTGAGATCTGTTATAATCCTGCAATCTCTGGCCCAGGGCTGGTCAAATCAGAGGGTTTCATGAATGTCTGTCAAATCAGTGAGCAAGCTCTGGGCTAACTGCTGCTGGTGTGCAAGAAATGTGGGGGACAGAAAAAGACTTTCAATATGTTGTAATAGGTCATCAGTGACATTTCACTATACCTGTTGTATCCTACACTGGGCCTTGTATGTACAAGACCTTCACCATGTTAACAAACTTTCTTAAAAACAGACAAGCTGAGACTGCAGTTGTGGCTCAGTGGTGGAGCACTTGCCTCGCACGTGTGAGGTACTGGGTTCCATCCTCAAAACCACATAAAAATAAATAAAGGTTAAAAAAAAAAACAGACAAGCAAACAAATAATCAAGTGTGCCCTCAGTGCTGGTGGTCACGATGATGAGAGACAAAAATGCCTTTTATGCCTCAGGGTTGTGAGCAAGGCCAGCTGGCTCCATTAGCTCCTCCTCTGTTTTCCCAAGTGCCATCATTTTCATGTCTGTTCAGGCTTTTGCCACCTGCTCTGTACCCTTTCCATCACTGGACCCTGCTCTTGCAGTCTCACTTTTTCAGTCCTATGCCTCAGCAACGGGCCCTCCACTTTTTGCCCTCTGTGAGATACTGGGCCAGAAGGTTCTTGTTCTGTGCTGTGATTCAGTTCTGGTCACCTGTTGAAATTAAAACACCAAATCACCACTGTTCTGAAAAGAGGACCATTGTCTGAGGAGTCTTTTGGTTAGACAGACGTCTTCAAGGACGCAGTGCACCCTGCAAAATCTGTCCTGGAGAGTGGGCTCTTGTCGAAAAGCTACGAACAGGTAGTGGAGGACAGTTGGTGAGGAGCAGAAAGTCCCAGACTGATCCAGTCTCTTGTTTTCTACTGGTATGTTTCGTCTTTACTGGAGAGATGCACACAGAGGCATGGTTGATTGTTCTTGTCAACTGGGTCGAGCACATCCCCAGTGACTGCATTTCATGGCTCTGAACAGGCTTGCCTCTTTTCCACAGTGTTGAAATCATGGCAGAGGCACTACACTGGGGGCCAAGAGACTGGGGCGGGATCCATGTSGTATCTGGTATCTGTCATCTTCTGTAGCACTTACGTTCTTCCTGCAGAGATGGCAGAAGCCAGCGTTTGTGTCTCTCATTTAATCCATCTGGCCTCTCCATGTTGTGTGTGTCTGTCTGGATGGAGATGGAGCTTTGTATTCTGGGACCCATTATCTCTGAGGCCCTACCTGTGTTTGACAGGTCAGGGCATCTACAATCTGCTCCTTCTTCTATGCAAATTATACGCCCAGCCTGGCTCTCAGCAAGCAGCTTCTGTATCCCCCACAATAAATCAGTTCTGTTGCTACCAAGAAAATGCATGCAGTAACATTGCTTTGTTTCCTTTTTTTWAAAAAAATAAATCTCTTTATTCATAATTAAAAATTGCCAGAAACTATAAGCCCTGTTATTAACTTAGTAACAGCTTTTTGGATTTGAGTTGATGAAACAGAACCAAATATCTCCTATTAATTGCAACTAGTGATTTTAAGATATGTCATATTCAGAACTTTAAATATGAAAAACTTTGTCTTGCAAAG